AAAAAATAAAATTTTTCTTATTTTAGTAAAATTCTAATACATTTTGACCAAAATTTATGTAAAATTATTTTTAAAAATTGTATCTTTTCCAAATATACAGAATTTGTTTATCAAAGATTTTAATCAGAATTTTTCAAGATCTGACCAAAAATTAGGGTTTTGCCAAAAAATGTATGCCAAGATCCAACTTTTTCCATGATCAAAACAAGATCTTAAACTTCAACTATTAGGGGTATTCGTTTGTTTATTGGTTTAATTAGCCATAAAACAAAGTACAGGCAGCCAGTTTAAATGACATGCAACTTTTTGTGTGGTACTACAGAAGGTAAATAAAAACATGTCCAAATGTGTACTTGAACGTGTACTTCAATACCTAAAGTCATTTTCTCCATCCGTATTTTCACAGCATATTACCTGCCTCGTCCCAGTATGGCGGAGTACCAGTTTGTGTACGTGGACAAGACAGAACAGGTGTGTGCCTGCAGCCAAACCTTCACCTTTTGTAATCCTAAGCCACTAGAGGAGCTGGAGACTCTCAAAGAGGAGCGAGAAGAGGAGGATGGAGAGGAGGAGCTGCTCCTGGTGGTCTCCAGGGCCCAGCTGCTGCAGGTAAAGAAGAAAATATCCTGCAGTTAACTTTGCATTGCATTGTTTTAAGTTTCATTGTATTTTAATGGCATGTTAACCATTGAGCCTATGGGGCTCAGCACTGTGAATCATGAACCTCACAGCACATCACTGCCCCCTATCTGTGTAGTGGTACTTTCTGCCTCACTCTGTAATTTCTGTGCACATCAGCTCTCTGTTATATTCCCTCTATTGTGAACAGAGTCGTCTAGAGGAGAGCTCAAAAAAACAAACTGATTTACAGCAGGCTCTGGACGCGGCTGAACAGGAAGCAAAGAAGGAGAAAACAAAAATCAAAATGTTGAAGACGGAGTGGAAGAGAGAAAGAGAGCAAATGAAGGGGGAGATTCTGCAGCTCAGAGAAAAGCTGAGACATAACAGTGAGCTGACAGAGGAGACTGAGGGAAAACTGAAGGTAGGGATTTGTCATGTTTTTACTCAGTTTTCCTCTTTCAGATTTTTTTAAAAACTTTTTTGCCTTTTTTTAAAAGGATGTGCGATTTAATCAAGAAAGTCTTACCTGTGAGTTGAGTAAACTTGTGGCTCAGGCGGCAGAGAGTGAGCAGAGAATCAAAGATCTGGAGGGTGAAGTCAGAGTCTTGACTGAAGAGAAGGACGGGGGAACCATGGAGCTGGAGAGGCAGGTGTCTGACACCAGCACTGGCTCAAACATGTCTGTCTTTGGTTTTAACTTGATTTTGATCTGCTGTTCCCACGGCTCACAGACTGAAGGACAGATTGAAGAAAATGTCAACTCAGATGAAACACAGTGAAGAAAAAAGAAAGTCTCTGCAGGTACAGGTTGAGAGTCATCTCTAATGTGAAACAATTAAACTATTTTTCAACTCTCAGCTTGAGCAACCTTAAATTAAAATGGCAATTAGAATTATAGAAACCTGTGCAACAATCCCGACATATTCTTTATAACCACATTCATGTCCAGCAGGTGGTGCTATTAACTCAGGCAAACTGTGTGCTGGTGCAACATTTACGTTATTTTATAATTTTTTTTCTATTGGTTAAAACAGTTTTCATAAAAAAACTGTAATACACATATAAAAACACAACATTTTGTCTAATAAAGTCTAATAAAACCTACTTTCTAGAAATATCAATATCCAATTTGGAACCTTTGGTTTTAC